AGTTCAAGTCCATGGGACGTACATATAAGTTCTTTGACTTCTCCATTTTCTATACTATTCTTAACCTCCCCCTGTTTATTTTGTACCTACCATTTATGCTTCTTATTGCCTGTACTTTCTCCCCCTTTCTTTCCCCTCCTCCTGCCCACTGATAACCTTCCATGTGGTCTCTATTTCTCTGATTCTGTTCCTGTTCTAGTTGTTTGCTTAGTTTGTTTTTGGCTTTTAGGTTCAGTTCTTGGTAGTTGTTTGTTGTGATTTTACTATTCATAGTTTTGATCTTCTTCTTTTTCTTACATAAATCCCTTTAACATTTCATATAATAAGGGATTGGTGATGATGAACTCCTTTAACTTGACCTTACCTGGAAAGAGCTCTATCTGTCCTTCCATTCTAAATGACAGCTTTGCTGGATAGAGCAACCTTGGATGTAGGTCCTTGCCTTTCATGACTTTGAATACTTCTTTCCAGCCCCTTCTTGCCTGTAAGGTCTCTTTTGAAAAATCAGCTGATAGTTTAATGGGAATCCTTTGTAGGTAACTGTGTCATTTTCTCTTTCTGCTTTTAGGATTCTCTCCTTATCTTTAATCTTGGGTGGTTTAATTATGATGTGTCTTGGTGTGTACCTCCTTGGGTCCAACTTCTTTGGGACTCTTTGAGCTTCCTGGCCTTGCACATCTATTTCCTTCACCAGAATAGGGACGTTTTCCTTCACTATTTTTTCAAATAATTTTTCAATTTCTTGTTCTTCCTCTTCTCTTTCTGGCACCTCTATGATTCAAATGTTGGAACATTTAAGTTGTCCTGGAGGTTCCTAAGCCTCTTCTCATTTTTTTGAATTCTTGTTTCTAAATTCTGTTCCAGTTGAATGTTTATTTCTTCCTTTTGTTCCACATCATTGATTTTAGTCCTGGTTTCCTTCCCTTCACCACTGGTTCCCCATATATTTTGCATTATTTCAATTTGTACAGCTTTCACTTCTTCCTCTATTTTGCATCTATTCTCAATCACTTCTGTGAGCATCCTGATTACCAGTGTTTTGAACGCTGCATCTGACTGGCTGGCTTTTATAGCTATCTCCCTATAGCTTAGTTGTTTTTCTGGAGTTTTGATCTGTTCTTTTATCTGAGCAATATTTCTTGGTTTTGGCACACTTGTTACATTGTAAGGGGCAAAGCTTTAGGTACTGGTCAGGGTCCAGCAACCTACTTGGGCTGTAGGTGGGAGAGGGGTCAGACAGGACAATGCCACCTGTTCAGCTCTCACATCATTATCAGTCACTTCCCCCACTATCCACAAGTGAACTGGGTCCTTCTGGTGCTGATTCCTGGGTGGGTGGGTTTATGTATGTTCTACGAGCCCATGGGTCCCTCCAATGGACTCTCCTGTGAGGCTGGGAGTTTCTCCTGCTACTGCCTCCCGCCCCCACAGGATTTTACAGCCAGGTTTTGAGGCTTTATTTCCCCACACTGAAACTCGGGGTTGTGCAGCCTATTGTGCTCCCCAGTTGTTGCTCCTGGTTTATCCACATGCAAATGTGTTTCGACCTGGTCTGCCAGCTGCTGCCTTACCATGCGTCCTTTCACCCCAGCTGCCTGTCTCCATTCTCCTATCAGTCTGAATGAATGTTTCTTCTTTAACTCCTTGGTTGTAGGACTTCCGTACAGTTCAATTTCCTGGCAGTTCTGGTTGTTTTTTGTTTTTATATTTGTTATTATCCTTCTTTTGGTTGTGTGAGAAAGCAAAGCACATCTACCTATGCCTTCATCTTGGCCAGAAGTTGAGAAATACCATATTAAGTAGAACTACACAATGAGATTATTGTTTGGTATCCACTTTCTTTATAGGCACATCTTTTTATGACTCAATTCTGCATGATCTTATATTTATTCATTTATGCTTTCAACAAATATTCACTGGCACCTGTTACATGCTAGGCACTGGCAAATACGCAATGAACAAAACAAAATCCCTGATCATATAAAGCTTACATTCTTGTGATAAAAGTCAGGCATTTTTTAAAAAAAAGTCAAACATACAGTATTCAGATCATAATAGGTACAGCAGAAAAAAATAAAGCTGAGAAAGAGTTTAAGGATTGTGGGTCATGAGGTTACAATTTTAAATAAACAGGGTGCTCAGAGAAAGCCCCGGCGAGGGAATTAAATTAGAGTAAAGACCTGAATGAAGTTAGGAAGCAAGCCACCTAGATAGGGAATGGAGCATTCAAGATCAGGATCTTGAAGCAAAAATTGTCTATCATGTTGAAGGAATAGCACCTAGAACAACATGGCCAGAGTTGCATGAACAAATGGTAACATATTATTAGAACATGAAATCAGAGAAGTGAGAGCTACTGGGAGAATCACGTCAGAGAGGAACCTCCAGTTGAAAATTTCTACTAAAAGTACTAAACACTATCTTTGCGTATTTGCTATAAGAATTAAATCAAGAGTCTTACTACCAATGTCCCAATTTAATAGGAAATTTAGCTTGAACTGCTAATGGTAGAATTTATGACATCAACAGGTTAGTAGAGATGTTATTTTTGGACATTCCCAGCATCCATTAAATTGTACTTCAGAAAACATTATCAACTACTCTTAAGACTAGCTCTGAAGCACCATCTTATCAATTTACTAGAAGGTAAGTGCTGAAACAAAGATAAGATGGCAGAGGATGAGGAAATTCATATGCTTTCCATTGAAAGCATAAGAAAGAGAAGAGGAGAAGTGTTTTACCTACCATATCTCAGGAGGATATGCTAATATATAATTCAAAATAAGGAGGAAGCCAATCAGATCATGTTCTACAACTAAAAGTTGAAGTCAAATTCCAGGGAGCCAACTCATGCTTTACCCCAATACTTGTAATACTGTAAGCATCCCAAGGACAATAGTTTCTTTTATTTGCACATTCCCCACAGTCTCTTACAGTTATTTTAGGACCTCACATTTTGTACTGCCTGACTGAACAGACAAAAAGTATCTGCAGTCATGAGAAAAGGCTCTCCTGAGCTCTCTTAACCAAAGTTGGGGAACACACAGCTTTCTCACACTCCTGTCTTTAAAACCTGGAACTACAGACAGCCACCACACTTTTCTCTATTTCTCTCGTTCCTCTATACATCCCATGACCTTCCCACTCCAAGTAAGGTCATACATTGTACTCCAAAATCACAATGGCTTACCTCAATTTTATCTGCTAAAGTCTCCACGTATTTCAGATCCCTTACTCTAAATTATTTTTGTTCGATTATCTCCTGACAAGCTCATGAGTTCTCAAACTATAGTGACAATTATGAAGTATAATGTACCATACATACAGTATTAGTATTTTAAATTATTTAAATTTAAAATTTAAATAATTTTAAATTATTTATTGTATGTTACCAAATACAACTAGCTATCAAAAGCATCCTCTGTACTACAGATTGATATCTAATTATAGGTAACAAGACTTCTTTAATCTTTGGAATAATTTTCGGATTCAAATCTATTTCAATTTTTTTATATTATGTCTAACCAGCATGAAAAATATGCTAAATCTGTATATCAGACTCTTTATTACTTCTTTTGTATGAGTTAATATATGAGTAAAAGTAAAGATTTAAATACCTACCAAGCTCATTCAGGTTAAAGATAATCCTTATAAAAGGCAGAGAATGATTCAGTCTTAAAATTCTAAGTTTATACATCATGCCATATCCCCAAATACTAAATGTTAGATAACTTCAACATATAAATAATAGGGTGTCTTTTTAAACTAAAATTTATAGCTGGAAAAATGCACTCTTCATTTGGTGAACTAAAACAAAACACAAGTATATACTAAACCAAGAAGCATCGATCACATTCCTTGGCAGGTTCTTTCCAGTGTGACCTTCTCTATTTTACTTAGACCTTCTCCTTCTGCTGCTTTATTAAGCCATGATTCCCAACCACCTCACCTGCCTACATTCTTCTTTATGTTACATATAGTTAACCAAATAATCTTTCTAAAATGCAAACTTGGAGTAGGACCACATAATACAAAGAATAAGAGACCTGAAGCAAGACTATTTTGTGTTTGAAAAATCAGGTTCCACCACTTGTTAGCAGTTTTATCTTAAACAAATGTCTTCATCTTGCTAAGGCCTGGTTTCCTCCTCTGAGAATTGTAGATAATATCTATCTCAGGGGGTTAGTAAGAGGACTAAATAAGATAAAGTAAAAAAGCCTCCTTAAAAAAGGCACCCAGAAATGTTTAGCTCCCTTGCCCTTTTGCAAGTTTGAACCAACAATTTTTCAAAAACATACCACATGCTAGGGAAAAACTCATTTAAGGAGAGTATCAGAAAACAATGTAATGGCTGGAATTGAGAATACTGCTTTCTAGGAGGGAAGTTTATCTGGAAAACTAAACTATTACAAGAAAGTATTTTCATGAGTATGCAGAAATCCAGAGCTAGGCAGAGAGCTCTCAGCCAAGAACTTCTTGGACAAGGCTCCCTCCCCACCCCACCCCACCCCCTGTAACTGCAAGGACACACTGTCCCAAGTTTCTTTTCCAAAATTCAGTTTTTATTATAGTGTCTATAACTAACCTTTTAATTACTCTAATTATGAATAAACGACTGTGACTATTTGAGGAAAAGCATCTAAGGCAGTAGTTTCTAACCATGGGAAGGAATTATACTCATCTCCCAGAAGCTATGTGGATTGTGGCGGGGGCAATGTGAGTCTCTGACGAGAGAGAAACGAGGTGATACTGACAACGGTTACTCCTCACCAATGAGAAATTCTGGGAAAAAAGTGGAAGAAGAAAACACGGAGTGGTGGAGATCGACCAGGTAAGAGTTTTTGATCCAATGGGAATCGTCATCAAATGTTTGCAGGCTTTAGAGCAAGCTATTAATTCATTTTCCAATACCTCACAGAATAAAGCACATTCAAAGAATGCTACAAATGAATTCAAACAGAAAAAAAACCTTTCTTGCTAAGCTTTACATTAATACTTACAATATCTATGATCATGTTCCCCTTTCCTCTTCAAACAATGACCAAAATCTAGAAAGAACCCTGGTAGAGATAGAGAAAACATAATGAACATCCATGTTCTTGGTATCTGGCTGTTAAAACTCTAACAGTCTAAAACACAGAAATGCTGGTTGAAGGCATAGGATACAATGACTAAATGAATAGAAATGTAATATTAGAATCTCACTTTTCTATATATAGCTGGAAAACATCAAGGTGAAAGAAATTTCAAACAAAGATTTAAGAAAATGGATAATGATAATATACAGAACTGAGTATTTAAAAATCAGTGGAACATCTGGAGTCAATATCTAGCTGAGCAGATGATGAGGAACTAAAATATGTGGGAGTCAGAGGTAAAGTAGTAGACCACGGAGCTGCCTTTGTAGGTACAATTGGCAGAGAGCATAAAATGAAGGTTTAGAGAGTTGGATCGATCCTGTGGACGTATTTTGCTTGATCTACAAGGTATTTAAAACTCAAGAGACTAAACACAGATATGGAGGCTTTTGTTTTTATTTTAGAAATTGCATCTCTGTCATTGAGTCACCAGAGTTTGTAATCTCTCATGTGCCAGCAACTGGGGAAAGGTGACCTGTACTTCCCCTTTCATGTGAGGAATGCGCCCTCCAGTTCACCTGGCCCTACTACCTCTAGGCACTAGCAACCGCCACTTAATACCCAGCATATACCGTGTTTTGCTCCACGACAGAGAAATCATTCTTTATACCTAGGTCTTCATGAAAAACAAAAACTAAATCCATTTTTTCCTTACTTATACTCATGTCTGCTATGCACTGTGCGAGCAATCAACAAGTAAAATGAGGCAGTGATAAAGCTCGCTTCTTTACTGAAAAGGAGTTTAAAATATAAGATAGACATCGAAAACTAAACTTCCTCAGCATTTAGTAGCTGAAAATGTAACAGGTTCTAAATTATATAACCTTTAACCTAACAATTTTAGTTCTGGGAATCTACTCGAAAGATATATATATTCATACACAAGCAAAATAACATGTCCAATGTTATTCTCTGCAGCAGCGTTTGTAATAGGAAGAGATGAGAAACAGCCTGAACATCCACCATTAAGGGGACTAGACAAATAAGTTACGGTACAACCTAACTGTACAACGCAGCCATAAAAACTGAGAAATCCCTTATGTGCTAACATTAAAAAAAGACCCCGAGTAAAAAGAACAAGGGAGAGCAAAGTATATGTACCAGTTGGGAAAGGGGAGGAAGAGGACAGTGGGGAAGAGTACGTAGTAATCATATGCAGGCTTGTTTATATATGCATAAAGAATTTCTGGATGGATACAGAAGAAACTGGTAATAATGATTCCCCCAGGGAGGGGAACTTGGTAACTGCTGGATATGTTTCTGTATTTTTTGAATTTTGTACCAGATAAATACATATTTAAAATAATTTAAAAAATATATAACAAGTTGGCTGAGCTGATTCCAATCATGATTAAGAATTCTTCAACTGTCAGAACCAGTGAGCCAGTGACCCTTCTCCACAAAGAAAATATTCTACCTTTTAGTTCACAGATAATGGAAACTTCAGCGGGAACCTAAGGAAATTAAGGGGGTGAGCAGGAGAGTGAGATGAAATAAGAACAATGGAATAAATGACATGGTGTCTTTTTCCATCTAGCTCTCTAACCTGGTTTTGAGCCCAAAAGGAGTAAAAGGGTAGATCTAAAAGATAAGAAACCCTTTCAAGAGACTGTGAAACTGTAAGCACAAACTCTGCTGCTTTGGGACTTGCAGACAAAGTGTGGTACAGAGGCAGGGATGAGGGAACCGAAGGGGGAACAGGACTCTAACTCAGCCCTGCACCTCCCGGGTACCCTGAAGACTGGCAGCTTTGAAAGCACTAAAGACAGCATTCCTGGCACGACTTCTATCCCTTGCATAGGACCCAGCAGCAGTGGCAGTGATAATGCACCATACTGGAGTGGCCTGAAGGGAACGGACTTCCAAAGGAGGCTGTAGGAAAAGAATATTCACTTCTTTAAATTTTTTTTTATTTATTTACTTTTGGAGAGAGGAGATGGGAGAGAGAGAGGGAGAGAAACATCAATGTGTGGTTGCCTCTCATACACCCCCACCTGGGGACCTGGACCGCAACCAGGCATTTGCCTTAGACTGGGAATCAAGCCGGTGACCTGGTGACCCTTTGGTTTGCAGGCCAGCACTCAATCCACTGAGCCACACCAGCCAGGGCAGCATATTCACTTCTGTTCCTGAATAAATGTTACATCCCACTGGAGGACTCCCAAAAATACTTAAGGGAACTCTGAAGAGCACTGGGGTTTGTGTGGGTAGGAGGGAACTAAACATTATACTCTATTTCTATGTAGGTGCTGGAGCGTGGAAATAAGTACGCTACAAAAACATGAAAGTACTGCACAGGGGAGTGAAAGAAGAGAAAACAATACTTCGCCAAAACGGCCAAAAGCAAAGTCTCACTGGACCTTTTTTTTTTTTTAAAGTTAGGCAATTGCTCACTGCACAGGATGTAAAAGAGAAAAAAGCATGAGGATGGCTGGAAAGAGGTTACTCAAGGCTCTGCTGGGAACCAACACACTTAGTTATGCAGCGCCCACTTTCCAAAGCGAAATCTTTCAACTGCTTTAAAATGTTTCTTTTCTAAGCCATTGAAAGCAATGAGATCATGTTCTTGATTAAGTGCCAGGTTTTCCCCCTGCAACTCAAACTGCTGAAGTTCAAAAGAAGAAAAATTAGAGGAATGAAAAGAGTGAAGGTAGGCAGAATTGGGAAGAGAAAACATAAGTATATTTTAATAAGCTGGGGAGAAAATTATGGAATGGCAAAATATAGAGGTTTAAAACTTGAGAATATCTTGCTCTGCTCCAAAAATACAAAGAAAGTATTAATTCAATTTATTTAACTGCTGTTTTCCTATCCCATTTTATCCAGAGTTACAGTAACACATACAATTAAATCCTCTCTGCCTCTCAGTCACACAGTGTTAAGTACTGTATTTTGCCATGTATGATGCATACTTTTTGCCCAAATTTTTGAGGGAAGTATAAGGATGCGCGTTATACATGGGCAGTACCTGAATACCTTGTATCTGTCCTTGTGTTTTGTAATTATGTTACATAAAATTTCTTGTACCATAATATGTTCAAAAATGTTAAAATTCCTTTATAATATAAAAACAAGTATCTAAATATATGCAAACAAAAATTTGAATTAAAAAAGTTTTTTTCCTGAAAGTTTGGGCCAAAAACATGTGTGTATATTATACACGGGAACACATTATACACAGCAAAATAGAGTAATAAAAATGCATAGATAAGCTATTTGTGGAAAATGGTACTAATACCACAAGGCTTGTTGAATCATTAAGTGAATTTGAAGTCTAGCCTTAGGCAATTTTGGTTCATATGTTTTTCACAAGTGGAATAAATTATATTCACACTACCCTAAACAATGAATAGTGAGAGATAATTTCTAACATAAGAAGTCAAATCCATCTCAAAATGTAACTCCTATGATTTACAGAATAAATAACAATAAAATAACCCCTGTATTATACAGTTGACTTTTTTTTAAAAATAGATTTAATTATTTATTTTTAGAGAGAGGGGAAGGGAAGGAGAAAGAGAGGAAGAGAAAAACTGATTGAATGCCTGTCACATGCCCTAAACTGGGGACCTGGTTCACAGCCCAGGCATGTGCCCTGACCGGGAATCAAACTGGCAACCTTTCAGTTTATGGAATGATGCCACTGAGCCACATCAGTCAGGGCTACAGTTCACTCTTGAAAAACAAGAGTTTGAACTCTGTAGGCCCACTTACATTCAGTTCTTTCAATAAATACTATGTAGTTTCTCTTCCATATGATTTTAACATTTTCCTTTCTCAAATTTACTTTATTGTAACAATACAGTATATTACACATTTGACAAACAAAATATGTAGTAATCAACTGTTTATATTACTGGTAAGGATTCTGATCAACATTAGACTATTACTAGTTAAGTTCTGAGGGAATAAAAATTACACACAGATTTTTCAGCTGTGCAAGGGTCAGCACCCAATCCTTCTGTGGTTCAAGGGTCAACTGTACTTTATATCCATGGCAGTCTCTTCCTCTTATATCACCAGCTTTTTAATATAGTTTTATATTTGAATAGAACTTCGTACTTTTCAAAGTACCTCATTTGATGTTCACAACACCCTGGGAGGTAGTAGGACAAGTTTCATTCAGTTTTAGATAACAAAACATACACAGAAAGGTTAAGAGAAAACGTACAAGTCAGTTTTAAGCAAAGGATCACATGTAATGGTCCAAAACTTCTGGTCTTATGTTTGTCAAAGTGATACTTGTGGACTCAATCCTTATTAAGTGATAACTGTGTCCTGGTACTATAAGCAACAGGTATATACACTTATAGGCAATAGGAATATAATAGAGACCAAGAACATACATAATTTCTACCCTTACTGAGTGTCATTTAATGGGAGTCATTAAATAATTATACAACTACATGGTAAAGCTTTACTTGTGTTAAGTGCTATGATGGGGCACCCAGTGCTGTAGAACATATGTGGGAGAAGTTGAGCTAGGACAGGAGTCACTAGGAATTACTGACAGGCCAGGAAAGGATTCTCTTAGGAGTTCACGATAAAGCTCTGATCTGATGACAGCATCATACAAAGAAAGAAAGGAATCACTAATTCTAAGTGAAGGCAACATCATTTACAGAAAGCCTACTGTGGGAGGGGCCATGTAAAACATGAGTAGCGTGTCCAAAGGAAGGGCAGTGTGGCTGAAGAAAGCCTGACCCAATTTCCAAGGTGACATCAGTATTCCCCATGTGACCCTGACCTTAGACAACATGAAGGTCTGAGTGACTAATACCCTAGACTAATGATCGTTTTATAATACCCAGATGTTTTGCTCAGGAACAGGGGGCATATTAAAAGGAATGCAAAAATAAGGGAATTGTTATGTCTATTAAAAAGTTGCTAAATTATCTGAATTCTAGGGAATTATATCACTT